AGACATGTTCTTGAATCCTTTAGATATCTTAGAAATTCGAGGTTCACTTGTCTGCCTTCGCCATTTCGATATCACCAGCCTAACAGGCTCTTTAGCTATTGTTAGAATTGAATTGAATTGAAATTGATTATTCGTATGTAAACTCTTCCTTTTTGAACTATGCATTCATATGCATTCAAGAAACTGGTACCTCAAGTCGGCAATCACATTGAGGGCTTGGGTATTGTATACTAAGTGACATATAAATCCGAACACCCAGTTTAAATGGTTTTATTTTAATAAAATTTTGTATAAGTACTTAATGAAGCATAATAAGTAAATGATAAAAATTTCAAAATGATTGCACTGCTTTAAAGCCCTTTGACCTTTAATAATGTGTGGATGCACCCTGATGTGCTACGCATTCTCCAACGCGCCTAGGCATGCTTCTGATCAGGTGGTCAATGTCCTCCTGTGGTATCTCATTCCAGGCAACCACCAACTCCTCTCGAAGTGCTTCTAGAGTATGAGGAGGACGTTGCAAATTGAGAAATCTCCTACCCATCATATCCCACACGTGCTCAATTGGGGATAAGTCGGGAGATCTTGGTAGCCATGTTAACAATGCGACATCATTATGTTGAAAGAAGTCTATTGTGACTCTTGCAACATGTGGTCGGGCATTATCTTGTTGGAAAGTTGGATCTGCCAGGGTGTCAAGATAGGGTAAAAGATGAGGTTCTAGAACTTCGTGGATATAACGCTGCGCGTTCATGTTACCTCTGATGAAGATTAAAGGTGACCTGGAACCAAAAGCTATAGCACCCCAAACCATAACTCCAACAGTGTGATGAACATGTCTTTGAACAAATAACTGTGGATTCCTCCTTTCACCACGTCGCCTTCTAACCCTGGCACGACCATCGTGCATGCCTAAACAAAATCGAGACTCGTCACTATAGACAATACTGTTCCATTCCTGATCCCAGAGTGACCGTTGTCTGCACCACTCAAGGCGATTACGTCGGTGTTCTCGAGTTAAAGGGAGGACCCAGTGTGGCCGGTATGAAAACAAGCCAAAACTTTGCATGCCAATAGGTCTTCCGTGTTCTGCAAACCATTCATTTGCAATGGACCTGGTCGTGGAGAAATGATCCCTTAAGGCCAATAATCTTAGGCGGCGATCTTCACGGTCTGTTGTTCTACGGCGGCGTCCAGTGCCCCTTGCTCTTTGCGTACGGCTTTCTCGAAGCCATGTCTGACAACACCCAACCACAGTGTCTACACTTCTTTGCACTCTAACTGCAATTCCCGAAAAGAAAGTCCAGCTTCCCGGAGTCCCACTATACGGCCCCTATCAAACTCACTAAGTTGACGAAATCGTACAGGTCTCCGTACTCTAGGCATCGTAACCGATCGTAAAGGATGTCAAGAGCCAAAATTCGCCAACGTTGATTCTTTACTGCGGCTGAAATATTCATTTTTAGAGCGTTAGTGAATTAAAAAAAAAAGCAGTATAAAAACCGGAATGTCCAACTGATAAGGCTGAAAATTTTTTCACTTGTTATTTACAGTAAGATAAATACATTCACCAACTTTTATTAAAATAAAACCATTTAAACTGGGTGTTCGGATTTATATGTCACTTAGTATAAAATAAACGTACTCACGAGTACCTTAAAATCAGTAGTCAAAGAGAATTTGAGTACATTTTTCTTAAATATAGCTCAACCATTATGA